AATCTCATGCTACCATCTTTCTTCTTCACCAACAGCATAGGAGCACCCCACGGAGAAACACTCGGTCGAATAAACTTCTTCTAAAGTGGTTCTTCCAATTGTTTCTTCAATTCCCCTAACTCAGATGTAGACATCCGAAAAGGAGCCATCAACATGGGACTAGTGCCCGATATCACATCAAAAGTAAACTCCACCTCACGCTCAAGAGGTAAGTCACTCACGTCGTCTGGAAACACTTCTAGAAATTCTCGAACAACTGGTAACTCCATGCTTACTGCTTCGTAATCAACTTGAAGTGATGCAAACAATGCAAACATCTGAGCCTCATCTTCCAAGAGTTATTCTACTTGCTTGGAAGATACATACATCCGCTCTTCACCATCACCAAACTCTGGGAACCTCACAGTCTTGTTATAGCAATCGATATGAACATGGTTGTACTCCAACCAGTTCATTCCAAGAATAACATCGATTTGATGCAAAGGTAGATAGACCAAGTCCATCACAAAATTCTTATCATAAATGGTTAAAGGGCAGCTCAAACAAACTAACGCAGTAGTCACAGAACTATTAGTCGGGGTATCAATAACCATACTCCCAATCATAGAAGATAATCTCAAATTCAACCTCTTAGAACATTCAAGCGAAATAAATGAATGAGTAGCACCAATATCAATCATAGAAATTAATTCAACATCATTAATAAAGCAAGTACCTCTGATCAAGTTATCTATTTTGGATTTTTCTGCACCGCTCAAAGCAAACACTCTGCCATTTGTCTGAGCAGCAGTAGCAGTCTTCTTTGGCTGTTGGCACTGGTTGCTGATATGACCCTTCTCTCCACAGTTGAAGTAAGTCGGAGCTTCGTCTTTATAGTCAGTAGCTCTATGACCTCTCTTGCCACAACGAGGATATCTCAGCGCCCTACAAACCTCAGCACGGTGACCTTGCTCGCCAAACTTATAACACTTGCCTGGAGCAATAGTTGCTCCCCCACTTGACTTTTTCCCATATGAAGCCTTTTGCTTCCCTTTATCACCAGAAGTCACATACGGTTTCCCTCTATATTAACCTTTCTCTTTCTTCTCACTTAGCTGCTTGTAGTGAGTAGATCGAGCTCGGCTATCCTCATCATAAATTCTGCTATTGTCCACCAGTTCCGTAAACCGAAGAATCTGTTGGTACCCAATTCCTTGCTTAATCTCTGGTCTCAGTCCATTCTCAAACTTGAGACACTTTGACATCTCTGCGTCAGCACAATTGTAATGCAAACAAAACTTTACTAAAGACTCAAACTTTGCCGCATACTCAGCCACGGTCATATTCCCTTGTTTCAGCTCAAGGAATTCCAACTCTTTCTTGCCCCGAACATCTTCAAGAAAATACTTCCTCAAAAATTCTTCTTTAAACACAACCCAAGTTATTGCAATGCCAACACCTCCCAATCTCTGACGAGTGTTATCCCACCAGTCCTTAGCTTCCTCTGCTAGCATATGCGTACCAAACTGCACCTGCTGAGCATCAATGCACGCCATAACTCGGAAAATCTTCTCAATCACCTTCAGCCACTTCTGCGCACCATCAGGATCATGAGTGCCCATAAAAGTCGACGTATTTTTCCTCTGGAACTTTCCCAAAGCACGAAACTCATTTGGAGGTCCACCATTCTGGGCCATCACTTGGGCAAGTGATTCCAGCGCATCAGCAATAGCACAATCATTTCTTCCAGCCATCTGCAACCACCAACAAGGTTAGAAGAAAGCAACTCATCCAATAGTGTTCTCACACTATTGACTGACAGGGGACTAACAACATAAAAACTTGGTCGGACCGACCGACCTGCTCTGATACCACTAATGTAACACCATTTTCTACCCCACAATTAAATGGAAAAATATTCACATATATCAGAGTAAAATATTAAACTCAATAAAATCACCTCAAAGGGCGTACATTTCCCAATAAATCAAATATAAGTCAAAGCTCCATAAATAACGGGTTTTCTCAAAAGATATCAAAAATTGCAGCGGAACTCAAAAAGGCATAATCCAAAGTTTTTCTTATACGGGAATATAAGCAAAATAACAAAATCAAATAAAATAAGGTTTGACTCAAAGACGTCAACCCGATGTTACACTATCAGAACATGACCCTCTAAGTCAACCACCATGGCCAATGACCCAAAACTTCAAAAAGCCCTCGATGACATCCACGGCTAAACTTGGTCATCTGCACGTTACCCACGTGGAGGCAACATTCAAACAGGCAGGGTGAGTAAAACAATTCATGATAATAAATGTAGGAAATCAACATATAAAATGGCGTCATTTTCATATTCAGCATCATCGTATTCATCAAGGAACATCAAAGGCCACAACATCATAATTTACTCAAGATCTTCTCATAAATGCAAATGCAACAAGACTCAATGCATGTGGTACCAATCATCACAGCTCGATGGACACTGGGCCATCAACCCACCATAGATCCCCATCAATAGGATCGATTCTACTTGAGAACCAGAGCACATCAAAATACCTCACATCCACACAATGAGATTGAAGCCAAAGAAATCAAGGTCCTGAACCGAAGTCCGGATGCACATGAATGCATGATGCATATGTCAATAATCATCCTCGTAATAACATCATAGGTGCATCATTCATCATAATTATCATCATCAAAAATCATGTCATCATAGAATCATCAAAACTCATGGAAATATCATCATAATTAATCAATCATTACATCATATGAATTATCATATAATCATGTACAAATCACATAGAATTCACAGTCATACTCATATTCATTCGTCAAAGAAATCACAACATCAAAACATCAAGGCATCGCTGCACAAGGTCAGAGTTCGCGAAACTCTGCTACATTCGCTAGCAAGTTCGCTATGCGAGTCTGGGGCGAGTTTCTTCGTTGTGCAAAGGATTCTTCGCAGTGTGAGTCTGGGACGAGCTTCGTTCGTTGTACGAACACGCGTTGACAGCAAAACGCTGTTACGCACCAGAACCTAAAATCAACCCAAAAGTCCTACGATTCACTTCCCCAATAACCCAAAAACATCCCTAAATAATCGTAAGGTCTTACGGCGATAAAAGCACAAAATCTATGACTTATTAGGCCAATCCCGTATCCTATTAACGCTCTAAATCCCATAAATCCTTACAACTACACCACAATCATTAGAGTTTCTCATTATTAAATTTCCATACAGGGTTAGACAAATCTCAAATCAGAGCTTTGGCCACGAAGACCTAATTTCCTTTAACCCAAATAAATCCCTACGGTTAAAATCTCAATAATAGATTTAGGCCACGAAGGCCAAATTCCTTTTTATCCCATAATCAGCCTCAAACCCTTTAAACCCTTAAATCGACCTTAGATACATTGAAATTACACATTGAAAACAATGAAGGCAATACTCCCCATACCTTAATTGTCGACTCTAAGCCTTCTCAAATCTTTCAGAAAACCTTTCGAAGCTTTTTCCTCAAACCTCCTCCTCAGAGCTCTGGCCTCAATTCTTCTCACGGTCTAACAAAATGAATCTTAATCCCATCACAATTCCCTTTTTGTTAAACCTAACTTTGGGCCTGTAATTTGGACTTTTCCAATATTACCCTCACTAACTCCTCCTCAATTGTCCAATTTTCCCTTAGTTAACTTATATTTATTTAAATTAATAATAATACTAATATATTTATATTATATACTATTATTTAGATAAATAACCCAAATTCCATAATTCTCAATATTCCACAACAACCACCGAAAATCACCGAAATGCGAATATTCTTATTTAAATAAATTAAATAAATATTCTAATTAAAACTTGGGGTGTTACAAGGACGACGAGGGAACTGCCTCAACAAATCCTTGTGCCTTTTACCTTTCGTTTTTACATTGCTTAATATTTGTGTGGTTTTAGTACAAGCAATTATATCAAATTTAAGACTATTTTGAGTAAGTGCTGGACTATTTTTGACTCTAGTACAATCGTTGATTGTACAAGGAAATTAGAGCAAATTACTCAAAGCTGAACTCACTTGTAGTGCTCTGCACTTCAAGTGTTTGATAAATTGCCTGAACGAAAAGCCTTGTGTGCTGTCCATTTATTGTGGTAATATTTTAAGGCATTGGAACTAGTCATATCACACTGTGAGCTAAATCAAATTGAGAGTGTGACTAGCGTAGTGATTCTCATTACTCGTTATCCGATTCCATCGGCTAAAACGCATATTCGGTTTTCTAGTAACCGTTTGTTATAGACGGTAATTTTCCACGGCCGCTTCCGCAAATTAAACAAAATTTTTAAAACCATTTTATTGGTAGCGCCGACTCATTTTCTTTAACAAGTGATCTATTCAACCCCCTTCTAAATCCGTGCCATCGTCTAACACTAACCTCATATAAACTAGTCTAATTCTAATATATAAAACAATATCCCAAAATTGAAAAGCAGGTCGAAGCATATACACACCTCTTTAGCAACAACGACCCCATTGTTAAGTATTTTTGGTGAACCATACTTACTCTCAAGAACAACATTCCTTCCTTTAGGGCCAAGAGTAACATCAACCAAACCCGCAAGCTTGTTCACACCAGTCTGCAAAACATCAAAATGGAGATTTTATATTTAAAACATCAAAATGAAGATTCTATAAATCATATATATAAAGAGAAATATTTGTAAAGGAAAAAAAAGGTAAATCATACGAAAAACTGTAAACCACAAATACCTGTAAATCATACCATAAATATTTGTTAAGAGAAGGTAAAAGGAAAAAAGACTCATATCACATATATACAAAAACTCATATATGCAAAAACTCATAATATTGATTATGAAACACCATACGAACAACCAGATGTAACTCACAGCAACGTTGAATCTACAACATCGTCATACATAACAATCACATCAATATTTTATTATTACTTAATCATTTCTACTAACAAAACAAAACAAAACAAAAACTATGATCTTAGTATTTTACATCCCAAGTTCCAATTTTCAAAATAGTAGTAGGAAAATTAGAAGCCTTGAGTTTAGAATCAGCAGCAGCAACCGCCTTCTGATTTTTCTTATTAGAATCATGTTGCTCTGAAAACCTCATCTGAATCAAATCCAAAAGTGAAGGACTCTTCTTCAAACGCAAACCAAGAGGACTTGGTTCATTCAAAGGGTTGTATAAACCCGGTGAAATCTGAACCGAATCATCGCTTAAATCACACTGTTCTAAAAAAACCAAAAACAAAAAATAGAAATTCAGATTCAAAATTGAAACTAATAAACATATAACAAACTAAACCACCAAGAAAAAACTAAACCTTGGGAGAAGAATCCAAATTGAAATCAAATCTAGGTCGTTTATTCGGAATAGCGCGAACATCGTCATCTTGTTGTTGAGACTCCTCCAGTTTAACTTTTTTAATGAAGTGATTATCATAATCAGACCCCATAAGCTGAACCATTGTCGAAGTTGATTTGTAAATTACTCATAAGTGATTTTTGAATAATAGATTTTCAGCCCAAAATGCCTTCAATGCTCCAAAACCAATATTCAAGATCCAAAAAATGCATTCAATGCTTCAAATTCCAAGATCTCTGACCTGCAAAATCCAAAAGATGAAAAAGGAGGTTGGATCTGAAAAACTATGCATCGATACAAAGAGAGAGAAGAGAGAGAGTAAGATGAACACGATTTAGAAAGAGAGAGAAGAGAAAGAATAGGAAAATGAAAAGGAAAAAGTGATTTACATCTGTATTGGGGGAAGAGAAAAGAGATAGAGTTGAATTAGTCAAGTTAGATTGGAACCAAATGGAAGCATGTGACATCATCAAATAAACAAATCACGACTTAATTGTATAAATATGTAGTTGCAATAGAACAAAGTGACATCATCATCTTTATTAAACAAATAAAAATGAATTTGAATTGAACTACGACAAACAAGTCTTAATTGACAACAAATAATATCGACTTGAACGAAAATCAATATTGAGTTGGAAATCATGATTATGTTTGAAAGAGACGACGTGATGATGATGAAGTGTGGTTGAAAGCAAAACTATAATGGAGTGACAAAAGTTATAAGTTTATATGGTTGTAAAAAAATACGGAATTTTTTTTTTGTGATTGAGAAATGTATGTTAAGTTTTGATATTAACATATTAAAATTTTAAAAAAATGGTCAATTTGATGCATTTTTTTGAACCGTATGGTTTTACAAAATCGACTCCGGTTATTTGGTTCGAATAATTTTAGACGGTTCAATTCAATTTTTTCGATTTGACTCCGATTTTGACTCATTAGCAATTTTAAAAGATTAACCCAACTGAATTCATTTTCGATTTTCAGTCCAACTGATTCGATTGAATTTTTAAAACATTACACCCAATATTGGCTACTTCATAAATTTTTTCATGAAATCAAACCCGCAACCTATATTAAAAATGATAATCGAGACTAAGTTATTTATTTATTTATTTATTTTTTATTTCAAGTAACAATAATAAAGAAAAATCATATCTTAAATTTTATTTTAAAGAACTAAGAAGTTAAGAAGAAAAAAAAGTTAAGCAAAGAGACAAGCAATTTAAAGGGTCCCATATTGTCAAATGAAACCTATGGTTAGTAAATTGAAAACGTAACACTATTACACTAGTACAAAATATCGCACTTCTCTTTTCAATCTCTAACACAGATTCAAAAAGAAAAAAAAAAACTCTCCTTGTCACACTGTGTGCCATTAAAATCTCTCCCTTTCTCTCTCATCGTCATCTACCTTATGAAATCCAATCCCGCCAATCAAAACTCAAGAAACTCCATCTCAATAGATAGAGAGAGATAGAGCAAATCAACACAGTGAAAGAGAGAGAGTGTGACACACACATACTAGGACACACTCTCTTTAACCTCAAAACTAGTTTTCACTCCAATGACTATATGTTCGCCACGTGGCTCGTGCTTTCACCATTAACTATAGAAACCGTTTTCATTGGAAGAGACTCTCTTTTCTCTATCATACCCTCCACACAAATCAAATAAAAACTCATCAACACAGAGAAGAAAAACATAGTTTCAACTAAGTTAGTTGAGTTGAGTTGAGTTGAGAAATTCACAACACAACTCAACTTCGGTTAAGAGTGTACAAATTTCTCATACCCATCTTTTCTTTTAACCAAAATTTGCTCTTTATTGTAAAAAGATTAGTTTTTTTTAGTTTGTTTTTCTTTGTCTGAAACTTAGGTTGATGATCAATGGCTTCTTTGGTATCAACACCATTTACTCTACCAAATTCTAGAGCTGTTAAACTTTCTTCACTTTCTCAAAAACATCTATTTCTTCATTCTTTCCTTCCAAAGAAAACCAATTACTATGGTGCCTCAAAAGCCTCCTTAAGAGTGAAATGCAATGCAATTGGTAACGGTATGTTCACTCAAACAACCCAAGAAGTTCGTAGAATAGTTCCAGAGAATAAGCAAAATTTACCAACAGTGAAAATTGTGTATGTTGTTCTTGAAGCTCAGTACCAATCATCAGTCTCTGCAGCTGTTAGAGCACTCAACACCAACCAAAAAGATGCTTCTTTTGAAGTTGTCGGTTACTTAGTCGAAGAGCTTCGCGACGTAACCACATACAATAGTTTCTGCAAGGATTTAGAAGATGCTAATATCTTCATTGGTTCTTTGATCTTTGTTGAAGAGCTTGCACTCAAAGTGAAAACTGCTGTTGAGAAAGAAAGGGACAGACTTGATGCAGTTCTGGTGTTTCCATCAATGCCTGAGGTGATGAGGTTGAACAAATTGGGATCTTTCAGCATGTCACAGCTTGGACAATCAAAGAGTCCCTTTTTCCAGCTTTTCAAGAAGAAGAATACTTCTTCTGCAGGATTTGCTGATAGCATGTTGAAGCTTGTGAGGACTTTGCCTAAGGTTTTGAAGTATTTACCAAGTGATAAAGCTCAAGATGCCAGGCTTTATATACTGAGTCTTCAGTTTTGGCTTGGTGGATCACCTGATAATTTGCAGAATTTCTTCAAGATGATTAGTGGTTCATATGTTCCTGCATTGAAAGGTACAAAGATGGAGTATTCAGAGCCAGTTTTGTTTTTAGACAATGGAATTTGGCACCCTTTAGCACCTTGTATGTATGATGATGTGAAAGAGTATTTGAATTGGTACGGAACTAGAAGGGATGCGAATGAGAAGCTAAAGAGTTCAAGTGCACCTATTGTTGGTTTGATTTTGCAAAGGAGTCATATTGTTACTGGTGATGATGGTCATTATGTTGCTGTGATTATGGAACTTGAGGCTAAAGGTGCTAAGGTTATTCCAATTTTCGCTGGGGGGTTGGACTTTTCGGGTCCGGTTGAGAAGTTCTTGATTGATCCTATTACTAAGAAACCTTTTGTGAATTCTGTGATATCTCTCACCGGCTTTGCTCTTGTTGGAGGTCCTGCTAGGCAGGATCATCCAAGGGCTATTGAAGCTTTGATGAAGCTTGATGTTCCTTATATCGTTGCATTGCCGCTGGTTTTCCAGACAACTGAAGAGTGGTTGAATAGTACTTTGGGTTTGCATCCAATTCAGGTTGCTCTTCAAGTTGCATTGCCTGAGCTAGATGGAGGAATGGAGCCAATAGTTTTCTCAGGTCGAGATCCCAAAACAGGTAACATAATCCCTATTTTTATAAACTTTTGTCATGGGTTCTATAATAATCCTTTAACCATTTACTAAATTTTTGTCATCACTCATATTTTCTTTTCAGGAAAATCTCATGCTCTTCACAAGAGAGTGGAACAGCTTTGCACCAGGGCAATCAGATGGGCTGAATTGAAAAGAAAAACAAAGGTACTTGCCATTTTTTGAGTTGTGAAGTTTGTTTTTTATCGAAAAATATTAGTATATACTAGTTATGTTAGTATTTTCTCTTTCACCGGATATTATATGTTTCTGCAATGAGGTAGAACCTTCTTAGGGTCGTCTTCATTTTGAATTTATTACATATTCTCATCTGTTTTCGGTGAGGTTTGACTTACATCGTTGAAATTCTCTTGATACAGAAAGAGAAGAAACTAGCAATCACCGTTTTCAGTTTCCCACCAGACAAAGGAAATGTAGGAACCGCTGCTTACCTGAACGTATTCTCCTCCATTTTCTCTGTTCTAAAAGAACTTGAAAGTGATGGTTACAATGTTGAGGGTCTTCCAGAGACTTCAGAAGCATTGATCGAAGATATATTGCACGACAAAGAAGCGCAATTCAGCAGCCCAAACCTCAACATTGCTTACAAAATGAATGTCCGTGAATACCAAAATCTCACTCCCTATTCCGCAGCATTAGAAGAAAATTGGGGAAAGGCTCCTGGGAATCTGAACGCAGACGGAGAGAATCTATTGGTATATGGAAAACAATACGGTAATCTATTCATAGGTGTTCAACCTACATTTGGCTATGAAGGTGATCCTATGCGGTTGCTTTTCTCCAAATCCGCAAGCCCTCATCACGGTTTTGCAGCATATTACTCTTTTATTGAGAAAATTTTCAAAGCTGATGCTGTTCTTCATTTTGGTACACACGGTTCCCTTGAATTCATGCCTGGAAAGCAGGTAGGAATGAGTGATGTATGCTACCCCGACAGTCTTATCGGAAATATTCCCAACATCTATTACTATGCTGCGAACAATCCTTCTGAAGCTACCATAGCCAAACGCCGGAGCTATGCAAATACTATTAGCTATCTGACTCCTCCTGCAGAAAATGCAGGACTGTACAAAGGCCTTAAGCAGTTAAGTGAGCTCATCGCCTCGTACCAGTCCCTCAAAGACACCGGCCGCGGACAACAAATTGTGAGTTCGATTATCAGCACAGCTAAACAATGTAATCTTGACAAGGATGTGGATTTGCCGGAAGAGGGTGTCGAACTCCCAACTAAAGATCGTGATCTTGTTGTCGGGAAAGTGTATGCTAAGATCATGGAGATTGAGTCCCGCCTTTTGCCTTGTGGACTCCATGTCATTGGTGAGCCACCCACAGCTATGGAAGCAATTGCTACATTGGTGAACATAGCTGCACTTGATCGTGCGGACGAAGGTATTTCAGCCCTCCCGTCTATACTAGCTGAGAGTGTAGGAAGAAACATAGAGGAAATTTATAGAGCAAGTGACAAAGGAATATTAAAGGACGTAGAGCTTCTCAAGCAAATAACCGAAGCAACACGTGGAGCAGTTACTTCCTTTGTGGAACGCACTACTAATAAGAAGGGTCAAGTTGTTGATGTATCTAATAAACTTACCTCAATTCTTGGATTTGGCATAAACGAACCATGGATTCAGTTCTTGTCGGACACCAAATTTTACCGAGCTGATAGGGAAAAGCTCAGAACTTTGTTTGCGTTCTTGGGAGAATGTTTGAGGTTGATTGTAGCTGATAATGAAGTAGGAAGTTTAAAGCAAGCCTTGGAAGGTAA